TGTCTGAGTCAGTTCACGAACCAGAGATCTCTGGCACTGTAATCAATAGTTTTTTTGTATTTTTTCATTTTTCATCATCCATAGAATTGAAAAGGCCTAAAATTTAGATTATCTGTACAGAATTTTAAAAATTCTTGGAGTTGAAATTTTTTACTGTCCTGCATTTTATTGCTGTGTTTTAGGCCTGGGGACGATCAGTTTGTTGGGCCTAACTTCGCCGAATGCATCATTCAGTCAAATGCTTACAACTTTTGGTTTAGCCGGAATTGTGGGTAAGTTTTTGACTTGAACTTTAAGCAGAAAGGTATATTAACAAAAAATGCAATAATCAAAATAAAAAAAAAAGGAAGGTAAGAAATGAGAATTGGAAAATTAGAAAATTTGTGAAACTGTTATTGTAATGATAAGAGATATTTCGGTCCGTTAAGTCGTATACATTTCTTATCATTACCAAAATTGGACCTCGTCAGTACGACGATTGTGATAATTGAAATTGGTAAAAGTAAAAAGCCGTCAGAAGGATGAAGCAGTGACGCATCTGTGATTTTCTCCGTAATTTACGCTCACTATCTCTGTGAAATTATTCATAAATTGCCGATTTATTGCGAGTGGGTTTGTTTTTTTTTTCAAAATCATAAAATTTTGAAGAATTTTTTTCAAGGTTACCATACGGTCTGGGAAGTGGTACCGGCTCTGCATTCACCACTGATGTCTGTGACCAATGCGATATCGGGTATTACGGCTGCGGCAGCGGTTTGTGTGATGGGTGGTGGATTGTATCCAACAAATTCAGCACAAGCACTAGCAGCAGCTGCCACGTTCTTTTCCGCTATCAATATTGGCGGTGGTTTCCTGATCACAAAACGAATGCTGGATATGTTCTGGAGGCCAAGTAAGCTCTACTGTTTTTTTTTTCAATATTTTTAGATTTAGATCTCTCTACCTGTTTTTTGATTCCATCACTATGCAGCTGACAGCTTTTCCAGTTATTTTGAGCAGCGTTGCATCGCCTGGTATCCGGCTTACTAGCGATTTTGGTGCCCGTTTCATCTCCTGAAGGGATTACCAACTTCAGCAGTTCATCCAGCAGAGGTTTCTGGAGTGCTGAGATAAAAGTGGGTGACAAAGTTCACTGGTTGCTCAGATATGTCTTTCCTAAATGTTAAAATCGCCATCTCACCCTGATCGTTTTCACTGCTGAACCTTCGTGAGGTATTTCACTGACGAGAAGCTATCGTTACATATATTTCCGGTAGAATATGCAAAAAGAAAAGTTTTACAGAAAATGTTTTCCATGAATTATATGACCAAGAATAATAAAACTTTCCAGACAGTCGATGTGAGGATTCCATGTTAGTGATGTTACTGGAATGCTTAAGTATGTGAAACGCAGAATATTCTATTAATTACTAGTTAATTAATTATTAATTCTAATAAAATAAATAATTTTTTTATTAAATATTAAAAATCCCTGATTTTAGGCTGCATACCTCCAGTTAGTACCCTCCGCTGCTGAAGTTATTTAAAATTAATGAAGATTTAAATATCACTTTCATGATAAACCAACACTTCATTCATATGATGGGTATATGTTCGCTTATGATTGTCAAACTATTAATACAGTCTACCTTATTTTCAGCCGATCCACCAGAATATAATTATCTGTACGCAATTCCGGGAGCGGCATTTCTGGGTGCGTACGGATACGGCTTGAAGAATGGTTATCCAGAAATACATTCGCTAACATACCTTGGATCATCGCTGTGCTGCGTTGGAGCACTGGCTGGTTTATCGACACAGCGTACTGCTAGACTTGGCAACTGCCTAGGTATATTATTATTATCATTATCATTATTATTATTATTGTTATTATTATTATTATTAGCGTAATATTTAAGAACAGCTATTGTTTGTCCCTGGAGTCGTACCTTTCAATTTTAAACTCCCTTTTTTATTACTAAAATACATCCCCACTACTACTCTTTAAAGCACATTTTTCCCAGGCGTACTTTCGCTCTTAGTTTTTAGTATTTTTGGATTACTTGAACCACTTATAAATCATATTCTAATCCTCCAACTGTACACTGGTAACTTCCTCAATTAATCAGACCAATATTGCATCGCTTGTTGGTCAGCCAACTGGCGATCTTGACATTCGTTTCGTTTCTTAAAGGGATTATTAGCTCAACGAATCTCCCGGAAGAAGCACTTGGCAAAGCTTTCAATATTGCCAGTCGTAAAAAACAGTAATAAAATTTCTAATGGAAGTTAATACTGCTAGGCATGATTGGAGTGTCTGGAGGAATGGCCGCAACACTGGGACAACTTAATGCCAGTCCTGAAACTTTTATTCAAATCGGAACAGCTATTGGTACCGGGGGACTTATCGGCACCGTAATTGCTAAACGAATTCAGGTAAATCATTTGAATATAAATTGATTCAGTTTTTCTTTTTTAGTAACTTTTTTCCTGCTAACCGAGCTGAAATAGAATGCTTTAGTTAGATTAACTTAGTTGTAGAGGGAATAGTTGGTTGTGGATTGGAAATCGGTTTATTCCTTTTGTCAAAGATTCAGGCAGAATTGCCGGATAGAAAAATTTAGAAGGCATTGCCGGTTAGAAGAGAAATGCGCAAATTTGAACTGAGTCGCAAAATTTAGACGAAAAAATTCATCGCAAGAAATGCAAAGTTCGATAAAATAAACTCAGAGAAAAAGCCGAAAGCAAATTTAGTAAAGAAAGTGAGGGTAAACATTAGTCGAAAAAGCTGGAAAAGTTGTCACCTACGTAGGTACGAAGCAGCAGACTATGAATTAACAACTGTTCTAGGTTACATGTAGGGTTGGAAGCGCTGGGTTCCTTTAAATAGGAGTGACTAAAAATAACATTTTTTTAAAGCTACTGGAGCACCAAAATAGAATAAATGCTTTTGTTATGGGAAACCCGTGAAAAGCGGCCAAGAAGCTCCCACAAAGAAAAAGCAAGGAAAAGAAAAGAAAAAGCGTGTATCTTGCCTTGAAAGGCAGACACAAAACAGATGCTGCCAGGCTAAACTTGGAGCACAGAAGCTCGTGGTGTAGTGGTAACGCTTTGCATCCGGACATGAAGGGGAGTGGTTCGATTCCCTTCCGGTGCAAGACAATTTTCGAGAAAAGGCTCCGTTCAAGACAGCTTTCTTTACTCGTGAAAAAAGTAGTCACTTGATCGAACTATGGCGCAAACGATAAAAAATAACGGCTGGAGTTATATAGTCCCACTCAGGTTCTTAGGCGTAAATGCGTTTTTATCGTATTCATAGTTTTTGATGCTGTCGGTGTAATCTAGGCACAGCCATGGTACCTGTATTCAGCTACATGCTACATTTTCAGGTAACGGATCTCCCGCAACTTGTTGCGCTCTTCCATAGTTTTGTTGGAGCTGCAGCAACGGCAACATGTGTAGCAAACTTTTTGGTCGAATATCCTCATTTTCTGGCCGATCCTTCGGGCACTGCGGCCACAAAAGGTGCCCTGTTTCTTGGTGCATTTATTGGCGGCGTTACGTTCACTGGTAGTCTTATG